CCCTATAATTACGAAAGTATTCTAATGTCTGTTTATTAAAAGATATGTAAAAATGTATTAGTACAATTTATTTTTTAACTATAAATACAATAAAAACTTACAACGGAATATGCAGCATTCCATAAATCATCCCATCCATTTGAATTGACAAGCTCTTGCATCTTTTGAGAATAGTCATTTTGAATTTGTAATTTAAAGGCTTGTTCAATTTCAGAATCTGATGGGTTTTTATTTTCTTGAAATAGTTTGTGACATGCCTTTGTCATTGGTACCTAATATAAAAAAAAGTTAATAATACATTTTGTTTAGGCGTGAATACAGATTATTTTATCAAAATAAACAGCTATATTTACATCCAACCACATATTCTTAATATCTTTCCTTTTCAAACGTTGCTTAGGTTTTTCTTCTTGTATTTGGTCAGTTTTCAAGGTTAATGGTCACGCCATTAAAATCTTAAGAATATTTTGTAAAATCATATGATTTTCTAAAATTTTACATTTTATTTCCTCTTGTAAAGTATTAATAACTGTGCGTTGTTCCAATTGCTCTTCAACTAACTTATTAAAAGTAGATTGAATATTCGGATTGAGTTTTGAATCTAAAAAAATACAATAATTAATTACGTGATATCTGATATTCAAAATATATAAATAATATGATGATACGTTAATACAATAAAAATACTTACATTTTATTGGTAGATCTTCTGTTTTTTACGTTTAATTCCTTCTGCACCTTTATTACAAGATATTATCTAAACAAATCAAAAGTGCTATAAAGAAATTTGTAGTAGTTACCTATCCTTATCGGTTGTGATGATGTATCATCAGCAATTGTCACACTACTTGCTGCTGGTCGTTTTCCTGCTGCTTTTACAGATAATTGAATTGGAGCTGTATCAAGTTCTGTTAGATCATTTTGCTTATCATTGATCGTAACATTATCTTGATTCTCCTTGCCATATCTGTTACGATTTTTCCTATTTTACTATAAAATGATTTTCTATTAGTTATAAATAATACATCTTAAAATTATAAAACAAAAAAAAATTTTCTTACTTTATTATTATATAAAGTTGAGTCATTGAGATTAGTATTACAAGGAATTTGTATACGAGGGATTGGTAAATTTGAAGGAATGGTATCTTGATATTGATTTTTCACATTTGGTATTGGTATTGATAGTTGCGTAATTACAGAAGTATTTTTTTACATTTCAGTCTTTTTAGTTTTTTCGCTTTTTTTCTGCTTGTTTAATTTAAAAAAAATTTATTTAACAATAATTTTATTTTATTTTTAAAAATGGTTTAAACAAGAAAAATTTTTTCATATTT